CTATTCCAGTGCTTATATTATATTTTGATCTAGTAAATAGGGTGAGATAACTCAGTATTTCTAACAGATAAAATGAAGCTACTGCACTGAAAAACATAAAAAATAAAAAAAATAAAAAACAAAAACACAAAACTACCTGCAACTTAAATTACCCATCTTAAGTGAACTCTGCAGACATCTACTGTCCTGTGTGACCCTTTGCTGGCAGTAAGCGTATGCTTTTTTTAAGAAATGGTTTCATGATCAAGCTAATGAACACTTCATGTCTGCTACTCCAAATCTATGGGCTTCAGAAGTGTTATTGTCCTACATTTGTCAGTTGGTTATTTGCAACATTATCCATAAAGCAATCTTCCTTAAATACAAACAGATTTATTTGGTACTTTGAAACAAATGAAGAAAAATCTCAAAATGTAGGGAGTTGAATATATATATATAATAATACAAATGCATGTATATATGTACATTAAAAAAAGGAAAAAACAGCATTCTTCTCCATTCTCAAACTGTGAGTATGGTTTCTTTCTTCGTCATGTCTGTCTACTGTTTACTGCTGATGTGTGAAATGAGATTCAGATGAATCACCTGGCCTTCTCCTTCCTTTATTGGAAACACACCTCTGCAGTCAAAACTACATCTTATGATGCATCTCTCCAGGTTACCAGTATCTGCCTTTTTTCCATTCTCTCACAGAAAACAATAGCTGAGAGTTTTAGAAATCATCATCTTTTACTGCTCCCCTTCCTAATGATATACATTATCTCAATGTTTACTTAATAATTGAAGTCTTGGAACCTATATCTAGATAAATTGAAGATTGAATCTAAGCAAGCATTTAGCTTTATAAGTGAAATTGTCCAAGACAAGCAGAGAAGGAAAATGAGTCTAGGCACAAAGTTACAAAGATTTAAGTGTGGGATAACCTGAAGCTCTGTGAATAGTCCCATTGACTTCAGAAGGATTACTTATAGTCTGTGAAGTTAAGCAATCTGCGTGACTGCAAAATTGAAACCTTAGATAGACTGTAATTGGATTTTGAAAAAGCTTCAGAAATTGAATACACAGCTATAAATCACGCATCCTCTAAGAGTTATAAATCACCCAAAAGGATGCTTGAAATATAATTATTTTTCTTAGTAGTTCAGCTGTATACAAACTAATGAATAGAATAAGATTAATTTTAAATTATCACAGATCATTAAATGTAAGGTCTCTGAAGCACATTGTATAAGTCACAATATATGAATATTGAAGGCACCCTTTTATTTACTTTCTTGTAAACTAAGATAAGTACATTACACATGTGACAGAGAGAAGGGAAGCTTATAAAAAATTAAGTTCAGGTGAAGATCAAAGATATGCTTGATAATTAGGATAGGATCAGTATAAAATGAGTACGTTTATTTCCATTGCATCATGCAGATGTTTAGAGAGGACGTACTTTATTTTAATTAGCTGTTTCTTTCTTTGGCTTTCCAGGCCAAAGACTCCTGATAAGGAAAAAAAATTGTAGCCATTGGTCAAACTGCTTGTAACAAATCTCATTTTAAATTGAAGCTATTTATTCAGAAACCAATCTACGACTGCAGCAGTAATCAATGTGTTTTCCCTTGGAGTAGAACTGTTTCCGTGCTACCAGAGGACTGTTGTTAATTGCCTGTAACTAAATGATTGCTGTGCTTCTGAACATAGCTCCTTGGCGCTCACTCGTTTGTTGTGTTTAACAGAATGCTTGTCCCCCTAAGAGTTGGCCAAGTAATTTTCCTCTACTACTTTCTACATTCAGTCTTGGCTCCTTAAGGAGGGCAAGGTCTGTAATTTGAGCAACGTAACACAGAGGTTAAATGGGTTTTAAAAGGTTTGCTCTTTTTGTCTCTCCCCTCTGATGTGGTATTGTGCCACAGAAGAGGCACAGAAGAAACTGAACCTTTTTAGCATCCATCCACTACGAGAAACCTACGTTTAAGCAGGAAAAGCAGATCAAAGGCAGTGCAGTGCCTGCTGTAGCAGTCATACTTAAATTGCAAAGCTAAAGACAGAATAAGGCAGCACCAAAAAAAAATCATATTATTACAAAGGCAGCCTCACACTCTGTCCTTGCTATGACATGTTTACTACGCTCTTGCTCTCATGCACATCACCGTCACAAGGCACCATTCAGGAATAACCTCTCCCAGGAAGGAGTCCAGGTACTCCTTCCCACTTCACACAAGGAAATCCAAGACACAGGAAGGTGAAATGATGGCAGCCATCCGAGGGGCCAACACTAATGGCTGGACTGAGCCTGCTGCTTCTGACACCTTCAATTCCGAGTAGCATACAGTGATGCTCTTCAAAAAAATCCTGACGTATACAGCTAGCTTCCCTGTACAGTTTAGCAACCTGGGGAAACACTAGCTCAAGGCTTGAAAGCACACAGTTGCATGCAGCACTGTGCCCAGGCTAATCTGCGCTGCTCTTCACAGTGCCATGCAGATGGGGCTGTACCAGCTTTGGGCCTTTAGGGGCTGGCTTAGGCATTGGCACAGTGGGATGTGAGAATACAGCAGACTGCTGGGCTAATTACTGTGTCTCTGCCTCAGGGCCTGATAAACATCACTCGAGACAGAGGGCGAGGATGTGCTGATAAACATAGCTCAGCATGGATGAAAATACCAGCTTTCTGTGCACAAAGGGTATAGCAAGAAACTGACTTTGCAAACAAATCTGTTTAAGAAAGACCCTTCTTATCCTTCTTGTGCTCATCAATGACTATGGTGGCGGCAGATAAAAAGGAAATTTCTAGAAACTTTTTAGGGTGAATTGAGAAGTTTGTTTCATGCTTGCTTATCAAGCAAATTTAGGGTAGGCTCATCTGTGTTCAGGTTATCAAAGAAAATATACCAGAATAGTCTTGAATTATTTTATGGGTAAAAAAGCACCTGGGAGGGCCTCTCTTATAGCAAAACTGATGCGGTCCATTTATTTGATTTCATGCACAGGGTTAGAGAATGAATAACTACTTGCAGTTATTTTTTCATCTAATCTCAAAATCATTAATTTAGCAAAAACTTCTGTTTTCCAGCTGTAAAGTTTCCCCTCTCTTTTAGTGAGTCATAACAGCAGGCACATAAATAGAGTATTTGGTACCTAGCAACCCAACACATTAAAAACCCTTTTTCCTAGTCCCTACTGAACAGCTGCAACACCTGTAGTACAAAATGATAAACAGGCTATAGTAAGCCCTGAGTAATTTCCATTTCCATTGATGTTGTAAAATACTGTATTATTTGTCTGTGCAAACAATTTTTTTGTTGGCTGTTTTTAATAACATTCCCCTCTCTGGACTAGAAGACTATTAAAAATTATTTAACACAAAGGAGTTTCCAGCACAGTTTTGGAAAGAATGACACAGGACATAAATACTCTTTTATTTTATTTTATTACACTTTTAGAGTCTTCTAGAGAGCAATGAAATCTTACAGTCACTTCAAAATAATAAAAAAGTGTGTGATTCTCAATAGATGTAGTCAAAATGAATGGAATTCTCACATTTTTCTATAAGCTTTTATTTCTCTAATTGAATCATATTGTGTCAAGTCTACATAACCACTAAATAAATAAATAAATAAATAAATAAATAAATAAATAAATAGAAATTTAACCTGTTAGTTGGTTACATCAGGGCTATAGTGCTTTGTTCAGACAGATGCTGCCCACTGGAAGAGGATGATGTGAAAGCAACATGGAGCTGAGCTGAAGCAAAACTGTATGACTTGGATTTCCAAGATTTGATTTCTTGGCATTCCTTAGCACTGAGCAGCGTTGGAAAAATATTGTAAGATTGTAAGGTTGTAAGAGATGCCATGTATTACTTAGTTCAAATTACAACACTGCTAACAACATTCCCACAGTTTTTGTTTGTTGCCAGTTGTCAGTTTCCTATTGATAACCAAAGTAAAAACAAAATGGATGCCATGAAGCTGTTTAAGTTTCCTTGAGCATGCCATGGTTTAGACTGGAAGAATTGAAGGTGATGCATTACTTATTCCCTGATAAGTGACTCTACTGAAGAGGTTACTGTTAGATGTGGCTACATTTGACCAGAGTCCTCATCCTTAGGAACAGAGCTACATGGCATGATCTCAGTCATGTCAATCTCCAGCCCAGAGTGCAGCAAAGGGACCGGGGGTGCCCATGTTCTGAATGATGATGTCAGAACTGACAAATTGGGATGATTTGAAATGGCTAAACGTAAACCAACCCTGCTTGTGGAAAGAGAAGAGAATAAAGATGAGTTGCAGATCACTGGGAAACTGTGTCAAAGCTTTTAGCAGATATCTGAGATGTGTGGTTTTGGATTTCCTAGGATAATTTATCTTCACATCCCTCAAGCTGTTTTTCTCTTTGCTTTCTGTTTATTTGTTTGCTTGTTTTTCTTTTGGGAAAAAAAAAAAAAATCCCTAGTTTGATCTTAGCCAGTAGACTGAAATTCATCCAAAACCTGAGCTTTTTCTTATTTATGTGTGGAGTAAGGGAAGGGATATGTTTTCATTATGCCGTGCCCTCCCCACTCCCCCCCCAAAAAAGAAATTCACTTTTGCTTTCACTGTAAATGGCACGTCAATGTTTATGTTCATAAAATGAATTGTCGTGTATCTGCAGGGAGAGAGATGGACGAGGGTTATCAAATCTCTCTTGTATGTATGCATACTCGCATACATATTCCAGCATCTGTTGTTTTACATAAGAGCAGTTTAGATACTGCACCAAAGGAAAAATTATGTTAATAAAGAAAACACATTCCTAGGTATTTTTTTTCACAGGATCTTCAAATTTAAAAATAAAATAAAATAAAATAAAATAAAATAAAATAAAATAAAATAAAATAAAACAAAATAAAATAAAATAAAATAAAATATCACTCATTTTATATTAGTAATTAACCTAAATATGAAGTCTGCTGTTAATCTCTTCTGTTTTGGAATGTGGCTATTATTGTATTTTGTAATTCTTTGCAGAGCTGATGTATACAGTTGAGCTTGCTGGTGGGCTTGGTGCTATTCTGCTGCTGCTTGTTTGTTTAGTGACTATCTACAAGTGTTACAAGATAGAGATTATGCTCTTCTACAGGAATCATTTTGGAGCTGAAGAACTAGATGGAGGTAAGGCAGCTTTTCAGTATGTTTCTTACCTTCTAAATATGCCTATTTCTCTCCATTAAGACCCAAATTTAATTTCAGTTCAAGATGCGTTAACAACTGCTATTTTTATTTCCCACTGCATTAGGCACTGACTTTAATACACATTCCTCATACAGCACATTAGCAGCAATGACTATTCAGCTGGTGTTTGTGCTGCCTTCTGGCTCTCAAGGTGACACGTGTGTCTTTTAGATCCATGCTTCCATGCTCCCAACACCACATGAAAGTTACCAACACTGAGGCTTTTCAAGGCTGCTCCCTTTTGTCAGTGCTGAAAGCCAGCTTCACTGCCTCTTAAGCATGGAAGTGTCCTCAGTAATTGTATTTCCCTGATAGGCAGAAGTTGAACAGAATACTGCTTGTTTAAATGGATCAGTTTCAATAAACTGTGCTGAGTGTTTGGGAGCACACCCAACAGTCCATTTTCCTGAGTTCATTTACTTAATCACTTGGAGATTGGCTAATGGTCATTAATGCTGTTTTGTGGTTCAAGGAAAGCCAGCTTTAACAAAAGTAGTCTGCAGTGTATGCTCTGGACTGTGTCAAATGTATACATGTGTTTTCTTCTGTTTTTAAGAAACAAAGGAGGTCTTCTCTGCCCACTAATAAAACTGCTGCTGGACAGCAAACCCAGTTGAGCTTCAGGTTCTGATTAATTAGATTTGGTTTCTTGGGTCAGAGTTCTTGATGTTTTGTGCCACCGCTACATCTTTGATGACAGAACCTTCCTTTTTACTGAAATACTGCTGAAAGTTATATTACAGTTCAAGGTAATAGCCTGTGGATAGCATCTATATGTGACATACTTTAAGAAATAGATACTGCACTGGCCAGATCTGTCACTGATACAGGATGAGAGTGGCAGCAAAATTAAAGGTCTCTGTGTAAGGGAAAGCCTTCCGTATTAAGATCACTGGGGAATGACCCATTTTTGCCTCCAACCTAAAAATGCATGAGAATTCAAAATAGAAAATGCTCAGAACAACAAAATGCTGCAGAACATTAGAACATTTTGTATCCTACCAGACTGACGAAAAGGATGTATATTAGTGCAACTCAGTGGGGAAAAAATAATCACAACAGGTTACTTATTTTACAGAAGAGGAAACGGTGGCCCATGACTATGATTCATGAAGTATTTTGACAGACTACTTTTTTTCAGAAGCCAAGATCCTCCCTCATTCAAAATGCAACCCACAGTTCATAGAAGCATGCTTACTTGCATGTATGAATTCAATAATAATCATATCATATGACGAAAGAAGAGACATCTGGTTTAGTAATTATTTAAATAGTTGCAATTTAATATTTTCTCTCTGTTGCAGTAATTCTTACTTTTACAGCTGTCAATTATTGTTACTTCAAATCTCTCCAATTAATTTGCAGACTTACTCTTAGCAAGTGTTACAAACCTGTCTTTCTCTCCTCTTACCCTTTACATCAGTGCCCTAGGAATGGAAATGCTTTAATCGTCCATTTTACGTAAAAAAATTATAGTTTTTAAACTGTACTGTTCTGGAATTCAAGAGAAAGAAAAATAACATCAGTTTGTTTTACTGAGCCAATTTAATTTAATTTACAGGATAAAGCTTAGATTCTCCTTACATGTTCAATGCTGATGCATTGTTTGAATGCTTAATTGAAGTAACACACCAGGAGGAATACTACTTGCAGATTCTCATGACAGAATACTGCAGCTTCTACCGTACTCAGTATAGTATATATACTAGCAACATGGATAAAACCTACTGTGAGAACGAAGATACTGCAGCTGTACTTCTGCTCTGTCTCTCTCACCTGTGCTCTTGCAGAATTAAGAAGATGGAGAGAAAATGCCCCAGGAGGCCAAACCACGGATTGTGTGGAGATAAATTGCAGACATAAATTCAGGTCCTTTCCCTTGGCTTCGCCTCTTACTGACAGACACAAAATGCTGAACTGTAAAATCTTTTTCTGACCTGAACTCCTGCAGCGCCACAGCCAAGCGCCTACATGCTATTCATCATTTACATCATGCGCTGGTATACTTCAGGATAGCACATAGATAAGCAAACATCAAAATGGCACAGGCTTTTTGTGTTCACTGTGGTGTATCCAGAGAGAATTTGAAACACTGTAGAAGTGAAGTCCAATTGAAATTTTCCTTTAAAAATTGTTATCAAATGCAGTGCTTCATTTCTAAACAAGGCTTTCAGGATGTTGAATCTCATCACAGTTCCTCTTTCTTTTCCTTAGAAACTAGTTTTTCTCATGCATATTTCTGTGGGAGGCATGGGCAAATTCTGAGAAATAGTTGAAAACAAAGTATTTAACCATCGAAACTGAAGTTATTACTTTCTCTAAGAGTGATGGAGAGTAAACAAGCATTCTCAGATACCGATTCCTCATTTCCCTAACTTGCATCCTTGAATTTCCCATTTTCTCTCATCTCAGTGACTATGTTTTCCTCTTTTTCTCTCTCCAGCAAACACTTCAGCTCAGCCTTGTCTTCTGGGAAAGCCCTCTTTTTTCCCTTAGTTAACTCCCTTTTCTACTGAAGTAGAACATAATCAAATTAACACTGTGTTCTGGAGTTTGGTTAGTGGACTTCATCACTAATGTCTGACATATCTCCCTGGAAAATGGAGCACTGGCAAAGCTCTCTGACCTATGGCAAAGCAACTTTCCCACATGAAGTTGCTTGGCATGGCCTTGCCTCTCAGAGAGACAGCTCATCCCTATCAGTGAAGTAGTCTGAAATCCCCAAACCTGTTTGACCAGCAAATCAATTTAAGATCTGACAGAATACATAATGAAGATGCTACCCTGTTCAATAATACTCTGAAAACAACAAAATTTTCAGAAATAGGTGTTCATTGGGAACTTCTGAGGGCTGGTCATTGTTAAATGGCAGGCAGGCATCCTTTCTGAGTTTAAGACTCTAAATTTAGAAGTTTATTTTAAAAAGTCTTGTCTGTAAAATGTACTTCAAGTATTAGCAAATTATATTGAAAACTGCTTCAAGAAGTGATGAATTCTTATGTTTTATTGTACATAGAGCCCTTACATTACAGTTTTATACCACATTCATCCTCTGATATTTTAGCTGTTATTATTTTCATATTATTTTTTCCATGGATCTACTCTGCTGCCTTTCTCAGTTTCAAATGAACTTAATAAACTAAGTGTTATATTTTAAGTAAGAGTGAAGAGAAAAAAAATGCAAGAAAATGTTTGTTATTACCCTGGATCAAGATACACCCTAACTTCTCACACTCTCTGATCTTAAAAGCTTTTTTATATCAGAGGAGATATAGCACTGTATAGAAATCCTCTCTTTGTTTATGAGAGACGTGAAACCCAGGCCTCCTAATATCTATGGAAATTTTCCCAGGGTTTTACCCAGGACAACTTCCTCCTTTGAGAGATTGTTTCTGCCCATGAAATCATGCAGGGATCGGTCTCGAACCAGGACAGCCACCAAGACAAGCACCAAGGGGAGAAGGGGAGAAAAGGGGCTCAGACCAGAAGCACCCTTTCTGATGCTGCCTTAAAGTGTCCAGGAGACTCCAATTCACCAAAATTTCTATTTTGAAATTTTTCTTGCTATTTCAAGACATGAGAGTTTTCAGTGGATGTTCAGACATCCAAATTCTAGCCTTAAGGTATATTGAGAATAAATCCAGAAGGTTAAGAAGTTAGGCTGAAAACTACTTGACATGGTCAGATGGGCAAAATTACTCAAAATCATGAATTTATATATGCGTGTTTATATTTCAGGTTCCAATTTCAGAGAAAAGAGCACACAATACATTTATGAGTAGAAAATGCCTGCAGGCACTGGACACTGCCATTTTGGGATACATTAGTAACCACTTAAATTGATTAAAGTTTTTGTGTAAAGGAATAAATAAGCACTATCATCAGAAAGAAGAAATTTTGCATGAAGAGGCTGACATTAAAATTGACAAGAACAGAATCATTTAGAAATTAGAAAGAAGATTGAACAAATGTGCTGTGAACACAGGTCTTTAATAAAAATTCATAAATGTTTCTTGTCACAATCATCTGACTAGAAGCCCAGTTTGAGGGTTACGAACAATAATAACAAAAATAAAAATATTCAGCCGATAACTAGAAAGACAGACCTTTGTCTGACAGTTGATTTAACAACCTTCAAAATGTCTCTCAGTGCCTTTAGTTCCCACAACTGTTCCTACAGTGTTGGACAGGGCTCTCTCTATGATGTCTTTCACGCTATTCTCAAATTTCCTTGCAAAGGAAACATTGGTGAACAGGGGGACTAAGGTCTCAGACTACACATGGCTTGGCTACCAGGCTTGGTGCGTGGGAATCAAGGCCCTGGAGTTTCTCTGATTTCACTTTTTTTGTTTTCTTTTTTATTTTATTTTAATTTTTTTTTGAAGTGTTCCTAATATTGTTGAGAAGTGTCATTGCTAAGCTCTTTAAATTTAAGAAATCTTCCTTGGATTCAGTATATGACAGCTGTAGTGGTTGTTTCTGGGCTGAGAGTGACGCACTCTATTAAAAATGAGTTTTGTTTGTTTTCTGAGAGGAAGCAAATCAATTCTCATTTAGGAAATTGATAAAATGGTTTCTGCCTTGAAATCTCTGTTGCATCTGGGACTCCTTAAGTAGTTGTGATTTTCATCTTTACCATTATATAGCAGCAAAAGACTTTCAGGGCTTACGGACCTATGGATCGCCTAAAAAAATTCCTTATTCACTGCACAAATTAAGATGAGGTAAAACACACTTCTCGGTGATTTCCTGTGGTTCACCCCAGTAAACTTCTTGAGAAGCCAAGAAAGAAAATGCTTTGAGATTGTTAATGCTTCAGATGCTGACTTTCAAGTATAGCTTTTTTCAGTGGCCTAGGCACCTGCTGAACTGCTTGTGTTGATGATCACGCTATGCAGGTACAGCTATACTGAAATTACTGCTGAAGTTAGTGACTTTGC